TATCTATCTATCTCCTACTCTCTCTCTCTCTTTACTCTCATCGCTTCCTTGCTTAGTCGCGCAAAACGGCACATTTATCTTGAGATATTCTCTCGTAAACTCGTATTTATATTTTGTACACATTTTTTTATTTACTGTTGTCTGTTGTGTTGCTTTCTCTCGTCCGATATGCATATATATATATATATATATATATATATATATATATATATATATATATATGTGTGTGTGTGTGTGTGTGTGTATGTGTGTGTGCGTGTGTTCGTGCGTGTGTCGGTATATATAGAGATAGACAGATTGACAGACAGAGACAAAGAGAGAGAGAGAGAGAGAGGATTCTGCGATGGATAAATTGTCGTCTAAATGACGCAAAAATGTAAATAACATTGACATCATATTTTAACAGACATATGTACAAAAAATTACAGATAAATATCTTGAAATATTAATCAAGAGACTTATTCAATAAAATCGTCATTGGTTTCAGCCTCGGCCGCCAGACGACTTCGGAATCTCTTGCAATATTTACGGACGGTTCACTTTTTTTAAGTTGGTAAATGCTCCCATAATCATTGCCTTCATTTCATCTTTGGTTTTTAAGGAGTTTGTTTGGTCTCTCGTTCATCTGCACCCCGCACATAATAATGAAGTGGTTTGCGGTATGTGGAGTTACGTGGCCAGATATAAGTGGTGATATGGTTGCAGAAATTGTCTCAGAGCCATGACTGGATTCTCCTGCTTGTGCGGCATGGTGCAGAATGATGTTACCCGATATAGTCTCTTCTAGCAGCCACCCTCTTGACCCAGCGGTGCACTACCTTTTCAAGTCGCTTGAATTAGGCCACCGTCAGACTAAGGCCCTATGGGAAAATGAGTGGAGACATAACGTTACCTTCACAAGTGATCACTCCAAAAACCATGATGTTGACGGGATATATGATCCAAGTCATTCCAAATCCTCTGCACTGTCCTCGAATTGACTGACATCCGTACACTCTGAAATGTTTGTATTGGAGCTTCCGGCTATACGATGCAGTCGACAAAATCCCGCGCATAATTAAAGACATAAAGTAGCGACAATTTACCCAACAGATTCTCTATCTATCTATCTATCTATCTATCTATCTATCTATCTATCTATCTATCTATCTATATATATGTGTGTGTGTGTGTGTGTGTGTGTGTGTGTGAAGAAATATTGTTTTAAGGTGTGCTATATTTATGGGATAAAGTGCTCAATATCAGAGATAGAGCGTATGTAAACATAAATATAAAAGTGAGCATTGAAGTCACCATTCAGAGGCGACAGGCTGTTTCATCATTTTAGGCCTGACGATTGCGCCTGGCAGGAAACAGCCTGTCATCTCTGTGTGTTGACTTCACTGTTGACTTTTATATATATATATATATATATATATATATATATATATATATATATATATATATATATATATATAAGTGCGTAGGTATGCAGAAAATAGAAATAAGTATGAACTCGGCAAATAAGGAAATATTCCAACAACACAGTAGTTTTTTCCAACACAGCCCTGAAAAATAGCGGATACAAAAACGCTGACATAACCTATAGAAACGATAGTACCAATAATAAGAAAAACAGGAAAAGAAAGATCATCTGTTATACCCCTCCGTACAACCAACTGGTCAGCACCAAACTAGGCCATAAGTTCCTAGCTTTAATTGAAAAGCACTTTCCCACTAATAACAAACTTAGCGACATCTTTAACAAAAACAACTTGAAATTGAGTTACAGCTGCACTGAAAATATAGAAAGAATCATAAAAAGACATAAGAAAATCCTAGAAAAACACGCAAACCAAAACAGTAATAAAACACATAAACTAAAATTGGATAAAAATAACGAAAAATTATGTGATTGTAGAAACCCTAAAAACTGCCCGTTGGAAAATAAATGCCTCACAAAATCTGTGGTATACCAGTGCACTATCTCATCCATTCAGAGTCCTAACACTGATAGGATATACATAGGCTCAACAAAGAATAATTTTAAAATTAGATGGAGGCAACACAAGAGCTCCTTCAACAATATTCAAAATAGAAATCAGACATCTCTATCCCAATATTTCTGGCATCTAAAAGAAACACCAAAAGTAAAATGGAAAATAGTAAATAAAACAAGAACTTGTAAAACCTGGGATGACCCATGCCCTTTATGCTTACAGGAAAAACTACACATCATTAAATTTCTAAATAATGAAAAATTATTAAACCATAGGCAGGAGTTAACGGTTTTATGCAGACATCAACAAACTTTCGCATTAAATAATTAGCATATAAAAAAAAATCCCATAGCGAAGTAAAATTCTTAAAAGCAAAGCCAAATCATTAAATAGGAAAAACCCTTTTTGTAGTCGTCAAAAAAAAAAAAAAAAAACAAGTTGAAATTCAGTGCTATGCGATCTGTATATAAAACCCCCACTTGAATAAACAAATAAATAAATAGATAATCAGATGGACAATA